CCTTGGAAACCCTGTACAGGGTCGCTATGAGTCGGAACCGACTCCACGGCACATAACAACAACAACAACACGCTTCCAGAGCTCCTTGTAAACATGGATTTATCGACCTGATAACCTGCTTGGAATGAGGCAGGACGGCCAGGATTTAGGCTTGGATTGTGAAGGAGACAATGGTTCCATTCATTCGCAGAGACAAGGAACACAGAAGGCACAGGTTCTGGAGGGAAAGTGGTAGGACATACTGCGTTTTCGGTGGCTGTGAAGGTGTCCAAGAAAGAACTGGCTATATGGCACTGGAGTTCAGGTGATATGTAGCTGGCAAGTGAAGCCTTCCTTTGGAGTGTCTGAGATAGGCCAGAAGCAGGGTCAGTCCCTTGGCTGCCGGGAACAGGGATGGCACATATTTCCACATCCATGTTTTTCCTATTTCCCTTCATTGCCTGCAGTCATCACACAAAACGCCCAGTGGACAGCTGCCCAAAACTACGTTTTATTTCCCACAGCTCTTCCCATCTTCCCGAGAGCTGTGGATAGAAGGAGGAGCCCCAAATTATTCTCGGCCGGGGGCGGGCTTTCGCGGCAGTGATGTCACTAAGAGGCGGGGCTTAACAGACAACCCCCCCCCCAACCCTTACGTAGGTGCGAGCGCAGGGGGCGTGACCCTAGGCTACGCTGACCGCGCCCCAGCTCATAGGGCACTGCATTTTCTGCGGGTCCTCGACTCTGGCGATCTCAGACCATGTGGAGCAGACCGCGCTCGGCTAGTAGGCCCTGGGTGCGGTTGTAGACTTCCTCCAGGGTGCCGGCAGCCCGGGCCAGCGCGGCTCGGGCCACCGTCTCCCTGGTTCCCGGACACGCCACCTGGAGCAACCTGTCACGACGCGGGAATGCGAGGAATGCGAGGTGGGCTGCCTGACGGATGAGCCAGGGGTGGTGCGGAGCCAGAGCTGATTCATAGGCGTCGCTGCACTGCTCGCCGGCGTCCGGGCCTTCGAGTGTCCCGGTCGCCACTCTGTGGAGGCAGAGCTGGGACCAGCGCAGCGCGCGGTGCAACAAGAGCATCGTTCGTGAGCCCGAGTCCGGGGGGACAGTCCCGGCCCCTTCCAGCAGTCCTGTCCGCCGCTCCCACGCCGTCATGGTCGCCAGCGATGTGTAGTGCGCGGCATGTAGGCCGTGCACCCTAGTCTCCAGGGCTGTGACCTTGGTGGAGGCCTCGCTTGTGGCGAAAGCAAAGATGGAGCCGAGCGGAGTTAGGAACCTGTGTATTGTGGAGATGAGTTTGGGATGTATGGGAGAGACGTTTTAAGAGAAGACGTTGGAACCAGTTGAAGCAGGGCAGGGGGATCACTCACTTGACCAACTCTTTCCATCCGGCCAGGTACTGCGACAACTCCACGTCCCCTTTGTGGCTCAGACTGGCGTGGAACGGTCTCATCATGCGGCCTAGCATCCCCTGAGTACCCAGACAGGCAGGCTCTTCCTGCTCCAGTGCCTCTAGGGATCCCTCTTGCTGGATCTGGGGGTGGACATGAGGGGAAGGGAATGGGAGCAGAACGTCTAGCCAAGAAGCCCATTCGGGCTGTGAAGAAATCGTTCCAAAGGTCTAGTTGGTGTTCCTCCTACTGTACCCTTAGTTTCTAACGGGAGAGGATAAATGGGGGACAAGATCCATCATTGGTTCCACTTCCTTCTGATCAGAGTCCCATCTGGATTTCCCAGCACCAACCCTGACACACACATTCCCCCCC